TTCCAGCAAGAATCCAGCACCGGTTCACGGTACTGCACTAATCCATTCCTTTCCGCTAATTTACTTCTCTTGTGAATCTAAAATGAAAGGCACAGGTGAAACATGGTATTGGGTTGGCACAGGTGAAACATGCTATTGGGTTACCTTCAAAGTATACAGATAGAAATCCTTGTCGCTTAAAGGTACTTCTTTCAAAGACGATATCGTATTTGTCCGCTCGGTGACTGGCATCCCATATTAACCGCAATTCAACAAAGCACGGCCTACGGAGACTGCAACGCCGGGCTTCGAGATGTTTATTCCAAGATTTGCGAGCGTTCATGGTCAAAACTATCATGCTATTTTTTTTTAGATTTTCGATATTCTCAGAGGTTAAACATTCCTAGTCGAGCATGGGTTGACGATGACGACACAAATGTACTATTCCATTTCAACATACAAGCTACATTTACCATCACTTACGTCCACAAAGCTCTGCACAAATCAGAAAAAAATCGACGCAGCTAAAATGCTTTACTGCACCGTTGCATCATGACAAGTGCCGTCGGTTTGCTCTATGTAATCATCAGATGCTCTGATTCCTTCAGTTCATCGACCCTCAAGATATAAGCAGAAAAGCATCTTTCGATGGGTTTTGGCTTCTGTTTCAGTAGAAGACAAATCTTGAAATATAACGAGCCAAATCTTGCCTCAAAGTCAAAGTGGGTCAATACGATAATTTTGCACACATTCATGCACATTCACAATGCACACACACATTGCACACAATTTGCACACATTCATCGATAGATTGCGGAGTGGCTGTGAAGAAAGGTTCCCATACTCTCTATAAAGCGGTCCCAATTTCACCGGATGCGTACCAGGCATAGGTGATCACAGCTAACCGCGGAGTGGCCCTCGCCCTCGCCAGGAAAGGGGGCAAAGCGCAGTCTGTCGTGTCCAAACGCGCGCTGTTACGGCGCCAGAGGCTGAACTCTGATCATCCGTCCCCCCGCCCCTCCCTCGCAGACGGGCATGCTGACAGAGGACGGCCTGAGCATGTGGGGCGTGGTGCCGTGCTCTCCGGCCGGCTTCGCGCCGCCCGAGCGGCATGTGCCGGCCCTCAGCGACCGCAGCGAGCTGAAGGTGGCGCTCGCCGCCTGCCACGGCCTCACGCGGCTGGCCGGCCAGCTGATCGGGGACCCGCTCGATGTCAAGATGTTCGAGGCCACCGACTGGGTGAGTACGGCGGCGGTGGCCTGCTCCGCGCGGCACCCGACGCAGCCGGGCGGCCGATCTGGCGGAGACGTGACCTGGACCCGGCCCGTCGCTGGCGGCTGCCGTTAGCATCCGGCCAAGAGGGACTGGTGGTGGGCAAACAAAGATCAGAGGCAGCATTTATGGGGTGTGGATGTGTAACCCACATGGGGTAATCAATGAATATACATACATTTAGTTCATGCAATCAAGTGGGTAATTTTGAGACGTCAGAAGAGTGGAACTCAATCTGTGCTGTTAGTCACTCTTAAGCCGCCTCCCAGCAAACCGTGCGCAACCAAATACACGACGCAACTGCACAAAACCTCGGCCTACACAAACCGACCGTGCCTATCTGTCGCAGCTGGTTGCTCCAGCCACTGCGAGATAAAGCGGAGTTATTGATCAGCTGATCGGTCAGTTGATGGATGCTCACATGAGATCACAGCAGAAACCACGGCAGAAACCTTTGCTGATGTGGCACGTGTTTTGATATTTTCTGGCAGATTGTACACTATAATTTATGCGTGCTGACCAACGTTGCGATGATGGGCAGTGGAACAAGACGAATTTCTCACGTGTAGCAAGACTGAGTTGTTGCGGGAGAGGATCGCGAACAAATGAACGTCATTGAAACGAAGGTCGTAACAATCCACGTTCACTAAGGCCTTGTTGTGTCCACGATTGTATCACTCATGCTGCCTTCACTTCGCTTGTTCACCCCCCCAACCTTGAACTTTACCCTTCGGTCGGTCCAGCTTCGTATGTTGTGTCTGACGAGACGAAAATGGTTTTCAACACAACACTACGTCTGTCACATTCCATACCTGTGTAAGCTGCCGCCCTTACTTCACTCATGGGCGCTGTATGATCATTTGCACTCGACGCGGCCTAAAAACTCTAAATCTTCACCATCATCATCCCAAAATATTATTCCATCCTCACCCACCTTTGTCATACTTAATGATAAAAAGTATAAAATGGAAGGGTTATACTACGCAGTATAAAAACATTCAGCATTTACAAATACTTGTTGATGGAAGTACTGGATAAGGCCGGACGTTGTGTTGGGATGGGCAAGAGCTTCATCAAATCAAGTCAAATACCTCCGAAGTCTGGGGCGGTGACAGCATCATCATCGGCGTGATCCCCTCAGTGCAGAGCCTTGTGGGGGCGACGCTACGCCGCTCGCCGCTTGTGCCAATACATGCGCTGCGCGACAACTGGCACATAGACCCCAGTTCGACGGCCCTTGGCTGGAATGGGATGGACGACCCGGTTTGGTACTGGGGTCGTGACTAACACAGGGTCTCTACATTGTCTCTTTAGGTACCCTCATCATCAGTTATCATATATCCCTTCATTGTCAGAGGGCCCCGATCAATGTAAGAGGCCCTCCGGCATTCGGTGTCCCGTCCCTATCCCTGTTCAGCAAACGTTCTCCTGGCCAACTCAGCGCTTCTTGCCGACACGGAACCCCCTGTTAGGCACTGTGGGCCCCTGATTGTCAAATTAACTCTCACTGATTCAGGGGCCCCAAACTCCCGACCAATGCTAATGGCGTGCGGGTCTCGTCCCTGCTTGGGAAGTTGGCTCCCAGGGTTCAGACCGACACGGAACCGGCTGTTCGGTGTCAGTGATCTCCGACCGAAATAGAGGCCCTCAATGCCCCAGGGGTCCTCAATCGATGCAAGAAGCCGTCTGACTGACATTTGAGGGCCCATTCCGGGCGGCAGGGCCCTTCATGTGACCCACAGACAGCCCTCCATGTCCTCAAATCAAGCATTTGATCTCGGTCACGAGAGGCCCTTCGGGCCCTCTGCGGGCGTCTTGAACGCCGCCCACGCCGAATCTGGGCCCCTTGCAAATACAGGACCCTTGTTGGGCAGTGCGGTGCCCTTTGTTCCTCTTACCAGTGAAACCAATCAGAGAAACGTTTTTTACAATTGATGTAATTTTGAGCTTCCATTTTTATGTCCTGCTAGCATTTCGGCTATGGGAGGCGGGGGGCGCCCAAACTCACCGTTGTTAGGCGCCGGGTAAATTGCAAATTTGGGGAGGGGTAAACTCATCGTTGTTGGGGGCGGGGCAGCTTGGACATTTGGGAGGGCGGGGGGCAGAAGCCCACCCAAAAAATGCATATCGACATCCGTGAGCGCAAGTCACTACCACCTGCACCGCGCCGCGTTCGCGCAGTGACGTGCAGTCTTATAAACGCGAGGGCATGTGGCGACGTGCTGAATAGTCTCGCGAACTCGAGGGCATGTGGTGACGCACCGAGTGTTACCTCGCCTGCTCGCGGACCTGTAATGCAGCCTGCAGACGGCGGCGACAGGGCGCCAAGCCGTCCGGGCGTCAACGCCAACAAACGCACGCCGCCCCTCGCACCGGTGGCATAAGCTCAGCCTGGGTCATGTTGCCGGCTCAGCCTGCGCCCTGCTCGAAACCAGTGTGTGCTGTCAACGACAGCGGCAAGCATGCTGCAGCCTCGTGAGAGGAGCATGGAGCAGCGCTAGAATGACCCAAACCATCTCGAGCTCCACTGGGATTATGTTCCACGGGAGGTCCGACTGCTCCACACGTCGTATGATTGAGCCAGCTTCGCATTGAGTCGAGTTCAGAGCACAGCCCCGCTCATGTGGGAAACGAAACGCACCAGGCTCCCTGTTAGCACAGGACGCCGTGCTGTGAGAACTCATTCTGGGTGACCTCTGGCGTGTCATACGATAGGCGGCTGGTGGGGATTATTTATTTGGGGGTAGTTCGAGCAACGGAACAAAACAACTGGCCACTGAGTGGCAAACAGTATTCAGGTATAACGGCAAGATCACAGCTAGTCCCATTCTAAACCACACAAAGCGCTCTGCATGAACAACGCATCAGATACCATGTCTTACTGTGGTAGGTCTGTGATGGCCAGTTATCACCGATTCAAAATACCACCACCGGCCGTCCAGAAACACATCTAAATTATCCATCTAACGGCGATAACTTATGCAGCTAGTTCTACCACACGCCCACACGCTACACGCGCGCTCCTGGGACACCTGCAGCCGGTGCGCGCACCCACTTGCCGGACTAGCTCTCCATCTGACTCCCGCCTGCCGGCTTTACAGGCAGCGCCCAGACACCTCACATCGGCACATCGATCCGCGCATCCGGCTGCCCACCGGATGAAACACTTGCGGCGACTGCACGGGGCCGCCGGCCGGCCAGGGGAGGGGCCGCGGCGTCTCAGATGGCGGCCGGGGCCGGGCGGCCGGGGCGGGCGGCCGGGGCCAGGACGAACGCTTGCCGCGACTACACGCGGCCGCCGGCCGGCCAGGGGAGGGGCCGCGCGTCTCGGGACGGTGGCCGGGGCCGGGCGGGCGGGGCGGTACAGGCGGCCCTGCTCCGCCCGATATGGCAGTGACGACACCGGCACCTGCGACCTACGACCTGGACCGGAGCCAGGCGGAGCCGTTGCCAGACGGTCGGACCCGAAGCCCCGATAGTCAAAGCCCACACTCAAAAAGTATCCGCGCCGCTGAGACAGCAGAAGCCGAGGCTCAAACCGCGCTAGCCGTGGTCCCGACGACGATGGCTTCCGTCCAGCCATCCGCCGACACGACCTCCAGTGCCAGGCCGGCCGCCGACCTCAGCACGCGCGGCCGCAGCCGCTCCCCCGACAAGCCGCACGTGTCGCCGTTCGGCGGCGAAAGACGGAACTACACGGCGCGGGAGCGCGCCCGGCGGCGGCGCGGCGGCCGGCGCCGGCGCCGGCGCGTCGCAGCGTCGCTCGACTCGCAGCAGATTCATGAGGAGCTCCCGGCCCAGCCGGCCACTAGCAGGGCGGCGCCGCCTCCTGGTACTGAGCTATCACTCCGCCCAGGCGGGGGTCGTCCACGGCCGCGTCCGTGAACAGGCAGCCTGGCGACAAGGGACGATCGTCATCAGGCAGCAGGCGCCGGGAGGGCGCCGCGAGGTCACGTGCATCGACACGCTGGTGGTGACGTTTGAATATGCAGGTTGGATGTGTAGCTGAGTGTAAAACGTGCCACAAGCCAGAGATGTCAGATAACCACATGAAGTGGACTGCCAGGGTCTATCAAGTAACAGTGTCATTTCAGCATTTCAAAAGCGCACAACCAATTTTCGAACGGGCCTCAGCAAACACATGGATAATCAGCAAATATTTGTTAACCGTCTCACAATCAGGCATCCACTCATAGCTGTTCAAGAACGTGTCTTACTGGTATCTCCAGTTACATAAGCCTACAACAACCATCCCTACTGATTCCCAAGAAGGCTGCAAAAGCCCGACCACGACATGCCAACAATGCCCACCCTCGCCAGCGATAGCCATCCCGTGACCCGGGCGTGCCGCGCGTCCCAGCCCGGGTGGACCGCCGAGCGCCGGCGCCCCCGCCCGCCTCTCACCGACGAACACGTGGCTGCCCCAAACGGCGTGTCGGATGACCTTGCAGCAGCCCAGGTCTTCGATGGTGAAGCCGAGCCGCCCGAGCCGCTCGTCGGTCTCTACGAGCCGGTCCGCGTCGTCGTCGTCGTAGTCGGCGACGGCGGCGGCGGCCGGGGCGCCCAGGTGGGGCCGCCCCGAGCGCGGGTCCACCAGGTCTGCCCAGAAGCCCAGCCGACGCAGGCCCAGCGCCATGTCCTCGCCGACGGTCACGAACTGGCGGCGGCGGCGGCGCACGCGGGAAGACCGGCTCAGGTCAACGTAGGGGCCATCAACTGGTAGGGGTTGCATTCACACTGGCTGAAGCATGTGTCGTCATGGGTCTCGCAGATTGACCGCTGGCGCCTCGCCGTCCCAGTTCAAAGATATCTCAATATCGGCACCAGCGTCCTGCGCCAAGCAGACTGCACGCGTGCGCGGTCTCTTGCTTTAATCAATGCCGTTTTCACCAAAATAATGATCCCCCAATAACAATAGTATATGAACAGCCGGCGAAAAGCCAAGCACACCGAGCACACCATACACACCGCAAGACTAAGGCACCACTGAACACCGCGTGCACCACTCCGCGACCCGGCCCCTGCCCGACAGCGCCGGCGTCAATAGTCACAGTCGGCCGCCCGCAGCGTCCCTCCGGGCCGGCAGCGGCCTCACCTGCGCGGCCAGCTCGTCGCGCTCGGCCTCGGCCTGTTCGGACCAGGCGGCCATGTCGGCGTCGGTGCGCTGGCTGACCACCAGCACAGTCAGCCGGCCGGCCGTGATGTCGCGCTCGGCGAAGAGCGGCCCGAACTCTGGTGGCGCGCGGCGGCGCAAGTCACGCCACACCGGCCGCGCAGCGGGCCGTCGGCCACGCGCCGGTCGCCGGGGTACTTGGGCGGGAAAGGAGCAGCCCATGGGCACGGCGGCACGACACGACTGCGCCACACGCAGGGAGCAATGGTCGCTTAGCTCCTTTGCAAGCTGTAGAAAACTAGCACCGGACTGAAAAAAATCACTGCACAGTGGCTAAAAGCTCACATAGTGGTGCACTAAGCCAATAATTAGCAATGCAAGAGTGCTGTTCCCGCCTAGACGTACTGAGCAGCCTGAACGACATCCGACCGCTACACCATCATAGACGTACTGGACAGCCTGAACAACATCTAACCGCGACGCCATCAGACAGAATTGTCCACCGGTCGCGTGCCTCTAGCGACCCCGACGCCGACGCCGGCCCGGTCGCCTGTGCTGCTCACCCTGCTTGAGCAGCTGGGGGCAGTCGTGTGCCTGCACCTCTAGTAGGACGGCGGCGGGCGGCGGCGGCGGGCCCGGCTCGGCTGGCCGGCCGCCCTGCCAGCTCAGGTACGAGGCCAGCACCTGCCGCCGGAGGTGAGTCAGACGGGTCAGACGCATAGCAGCGAGCCGCGCCGCGCCGGCGCCAACACACACAGGTCTTCGGCCCGGTGGACAAGCAGGCGTCGGTCTTGGAGCTTGGCTGCAACGGGGCCATCCTGTCCATACAGAACAATACCCCAACGGGACAACGACTAAACCGGACAACAGCAAGAACAGGACAAAACAGGACGATGCAGTTTGACGACGGTTCACGTGATGATAACGGACGGTATTGGGTCAAGTTGGCGTGAAGGGCGGAGCAGCTGCGGATCACAGCACGGTAACACCCCCACCGAGGTCTACGGCGGGTGCTCAGGTCGGCAACGGGACCTTATGAGGGCGTGAAAGCACACACGACCAGCGCGAGGAAGCCCGGCGTACGCACATAAGATGACACGATTGTTCGCCATTTAATCCACAAATTTCGGCTTTTCACTAACGAAACAATAATGCACATGTCAAGGAGTCAGCGAGGGAAGCGAGAAAACATCTTACATCATGTGCGATCTCGAATTACAGCCACTTACAAAGCAATGCACAGCGTAGAAACAAGGTAAAAGCACGGAAACTGGCCCATTTGTTCACAGTCCACAGTTAACACTTTAAAGCAGCAACCATTTGAGTTTAACCATGCCCGGTAGCAGGCGTGACTAGCGGGATCGTAGCCCAGAGAAAGATCTACGTCAGGAAACACTCGCACAGCACAAGCAGGGCTCAAGAGCAGACAGCAGCTCCATGTGCGCGGCGGGTACATACAGGGAAGACATCCACTGCCGTACGCTCGACACCCGCTCCCGCCCCAGCGCCCCCCCCCCCCCCCTCGCAGCCTGAGCCGGCGGCGCCGCCCCCAGCGAGCCGCGCGTGGCCGGCGGGTCGCCCCGCCACTGACCGCCATGTGTCGATCCCGATACAGCTCGGCGGCCGCCTCGTTGCGCGCGCGGCGCGGCTGCGGCGTGGGCCGGGGTGGCGGTGGCGGCGGCGGCAGCGACGGGCTCAGCTCCTCGGCCAGGCCGACGGCGCCGGGCAGCGGCAGGCGCCGGTCCGTGTCGCCCAGCAGGTCGCTGGCAGGCGACGGCCGCAGCTGGCGCACTGTCGCACGCCGCGCACAGAGTCAGACGGGTCGCGCGCCGGTCGACCGCGCGGACAGCGAGAGGAGCTGCGGGACTGGGCCGGCCGGACGGGGGAGGGGGGGGGGGGGGGGGGCACTCGAAAGAGGATCGTCGGGTTACGAACGCTGGCGCATGGTCAGGCGTCCAATGTAGCGGCTTTGTGACGGCACATTGATATGCGGGAAGCCGATAGAGCGTCAGCTGTAGAAGAACGATGCAACGGCAGGCATCACACCAGCAAGAAAACCACTTCCACGAGGTTGAAAGCAGACACCAGTGTTACGCAGCACGTCAGCACCGCCGCCTTCGACACGGCCTGGCTAGAGCACCATTGCGGAGCACGCTGCCAACCCGGATCACCATTATCGTTCACCAGGGGGGGGGGGGGGGGGGGAGGGGAGGGGTACGAGCCATGGAGGCGGGCGTCACCTTCAACCACGATCTCTCCGTCATGGCCGATGTCGTCCTTGGTGGAGAGGGCGCGCAGGCTGGCGCTGATCTGGCGCAGGGTGCGGCCGTACAGCAAGGCCGTCCGTCGGCCGGGGCTCAGCAGCTGTCGGCAGGTCACACCAGAGGTCAGAGGTGCAGTCCGGGGGGATGAGGGGGGGGGGGGCGGGGGAGGCAGCGCAAGCAGCAAACACGCAGTGCAGCGTGTAATGGACCAACTAGGGGAGTCACATGACAAGGATAGGGAGGTGATGATGTTGCATGTGTGCAGGAGATGTCACGCCAGTCACTGCCAGGGCACCACTACATCTGGAAGGCTTTCATAAAAATGGCTGCCTGACTGAGACAGACCCATGCTTAAGGCAACATCAACAATGTCCATGTGTCTGTCAGCAAGATGGGATTTAATTAAGTATGTACAACAATACAAACAAAATACCCCTATTATTTCACACAACTCTTTCTGCAATGCCCCCAATGAGTTTTGACTGAATTCTACATGTTGGTCCAGATTCAAATTGCTTTTGTGACAGCCCCCTGAGAACTAGCAGGATTACCAGTGACAACTGATAGAGACCCCTTACAAGTTTTGTGTCCAAATACATTATGTCCTTGCCTCTAAAAATGCTGACAAAGCTAGATGACAATGATGCAACAAATGTGTGCCTCAGGGCTCCCAAAATGTATTGACAGAAAGGTGCTACAGCAATAATTCAGCAAAATGACTGCTCATCATGCACTCTGACTTACAAGTGATACAAAACCTAAAATAGATCATAAATTTTTGGAGCTTATATATATATAATACATGAAGTAACAGCGCAGCACAGTGCTGAGTGCACACTACATTTTACACTACATTTTACACTACATTTACACTTACATTTTTTTGGCAGCAATCTGAGGGCATAATTTAGGAAAAATAAGATCACAAGGGCATGCATGCAAAATAAACTTTAAGATATACATTATAGATGACCTTTAGCTATTTTCATTTCTTTTCAACTTCACTGGACTGGGGGACACATGTTGTACAATTTTACTTTGCACCTAACATTCATTACATAAGCAGCACCCACACCAGCCAGACAACACCCAACTTACCCTTAGTGCCATTGCTCTTTAATAACTGCTGAACCTGAAAGGAAAATTATCATGAATTCAGATGTACCAGTCAGGGTATATAATGGTACCTCATGTTAAGAAAGAGCATTGTATATCAATCGTCATTTTTTAGGCAGAACACATCGCAATTAATCGTAAATAAGGTCATTTAAGCTCGTACCTTGGAACTTAAATAACTACAATAGCGAATACACGTGATCAACATCACTGTGTGTGAGCACAACATTACGGCGCATCAAGAACTATAAAAATGCATGAGTTCAAGGTAACAAGAATTCAATAAAATGTGTTTCTTGTGTATCCAAGCAGTCTTCCTTATTGTTTGTAGATTGATCAACATGGTGGGGAAATATGATGTTTTTGCATGGGAATGAAAAGCAAAATTAGAATATGGCAGCTAAACAAAACTTCTTAATACAGTACATATATATGGCATGGAACATGGATGCCAATGGGACACTGGGTTGAAGGGGATAGGGTGGGAGTTAGTTACGAGAATGCATATATTATTAGTGCTTGCGTTAAGCATGTTTCACTTCAGCAATGCTGGCCATCAAACCACATTTGAATGGGCGCAGATTTCAGTTTTATTCCTACCATTGTTTGCCTCCAAACCATGGTCAGCAACAAAAGCAAAGCCAATGACCAGCTGGATGCATTGAAAATCAAGTATAAAATGTCACATGGCAGTCTGCCCAGTTGTGATAAATGCTGGGCAAAGCAAGAAAAGATCTGTGTCTTCTACTATGGTTTACAAAATCAGACACAAAAGCGGCAGTAGCATATCCCGCGACACGCAGCAGACGTCTTTTGCGATCTATTGTGTAACCTGCCCCAGTGACCAGGTCAGCCAACCAACATTTCCAACCAAAGGACAGCATCCACTGGGGCACTAAATACAATACATGGCATGCATACCTAGCCGGACGAGGTTGAAAGCCCCGTCGCTGCTCGCCACTCAAAAATACCGACAGTGAACCCGACCCTGCACCCCCACTCCAGAAGGTCGAATAGCGCGTCAACCAAGGCCGTGTAGAGACGGAAATCGTCAAGCCCCGAGCTTACCGGCCAACCCAAGACGACGGCGAACCCTTCCTTGTAGCTTATGACGTCACAAGTTGGTTGGTCACATCCGTTGACAGTATGAATACAGGTAGTATTCATATATATCAATAGTAGAATACAGACAGTATGAATACAGTAACTTCACATGCTCGTGCGCCAGACACTACGAGCATCCATCGAGTCAAAATATCAAGATCAACCCCACAGATGTACTCCGAGATAGCTTACTGCATGACATCCTCTGGAAACATCCGGGAATATATGCGCCCGGAAGACTTACACACGGAAGATCTTCTACTGGAAAAGCCTTCTTCATGCGAACCTACATATGTCAATGTCCGTTTATTGAGTTGAAATAATCGAGGAGCAAGGGCGGCAGCAGACAATGGATGGGCAAAGATTTACATACAACTATCGACGTCTCGACGACGTATCTGTAGCCATACACCAGAAACATGCTCACGCGTTTCATCGTCATTATTGCATGGAAAATAAACCTGAAAGCTGCTTCGCACTCGCCATGCGGCTAGGTATTGCACCATTCGTAACCATATCTCTACAGGTCACCCTACAGCGTCCAGGCGATTAGAGGTAAGGACGCGGTCACGCATTACTTCGTCAGAAAAATGTTCATTAAAAAAGGAATGGAATACACGCTGCCATGTCCTGTTGTGGACTGTCAGCGTCTGCATAGACCATACTTAGCGTTCAATGATCATGCAACCGAAATTCCACCTCCGCTACGTAAGAGTCCAAAGCGTTAATCCGCTCGGCCATAATTTCCCGCCAGTTTAGTGCATCGAATCCAAATTTGAAAACAGATGTGCTTGCTATCGTATATCCGGTGGCGCATGTATATCAAGCCGCCTGGCCCAACACGAGCCCTGGTAGCTCGTTGAATATCCTGCGCTCGGGTGGGGAATGTTCAATTTGACCCCCTCCCTAGATATCAGAAACTAAGAGAGCTAGAGACATCAAATTCGCAAATTGTGTTTGCCTGTACTCACACTCTTTTGCGTCAAAGTTTTGCGTTCCTAGGTCATGACCTTCGGATCAAATAAGGCCAGAGAAGGTCAAACTCCAGGCTTGTGTCCAAAGCGCTCCCAGAACCTAGATATTTGTTCTAAGCAAAAGACCACTGATTCTTATTTAAGGTCAGTGACCCTTGGTTGACCTTTCAAAGGTCATGGTGACCAAAATCATACAGGACTGCTTTGAGTTTTGCATTTGAATAAGCGTCAAAGATTTTGCTAGGCAGTATGCTCCTATAAACAAAATCTTGACCCGGGTTGTTGTATGTCAGTGACTTATTCTGACGCTTGAGAAGTTCATGAAAATGCGGTTTCTGTTGCCAGCTTCGAAATGAGCACCAGAAACCATCCCAAGCTGCGTCGTATGGCCGTCTCACGGCATGCCTGGGTCGTGTGAGGCGTCTCACGACATGCCTGGGTCGTGTGGGCGTCTCACGACATGACTGGGTCGTGTGGACGTCTCAGGACATGACTGGGTCGTGTGGGGCGTCTCACGACATGCCTGGGTCGTGTGGGCGTCTCACGACATGCCTGGGTCGTATGGCCGTGTCATGGACATGACCGGGTCGTGTGGACGACTTACGACATGGCTGGGTCGCGTAGGCGTATCACGACATGCCTGGGGTCGTGTGGGCGTCTCAGGACATGCCTGGGTCGTGTGGACGTCTCACGACATGCCTGGGTCGTGTGGGCGTCTCACGACATGCCTGGGTCGTGTGGGCGTCTCACGATATGCCTGGGTCGTGTGGGCGTCTCACGATATGCCTGGGTCGTATGGCCGTCTCATGACATGACCGGGTCGTGCGGACGGCCTACGACATGGCTGGGTCTTGTGGACGGCTTACGACATGACTGAATTGATGACGATGCCCAGCAGGCGGACTAACATCTTTTCATAATCCACACTGTTTTGCCGTTGTTCCGTTTCCCCATCCTCTGCTGTTTCTTAGTTATGAGCTTTATTCAAAGGGATATTTCATCTTCCTATCGTGTTTATTATGATTATATAGCACCCTTCAGAGCTGGTGAATGGCATCACACACTGCTGATGCCGCTCATCCGCCTCTACAGTTCAGTCGGTACAGCGTTGGACATTGAAACCAATGTCTCGTTGAACATGACGAAGACAAGGACAAAGACAATGACATGACAGAGACCAATGACAAATTTCGCATTCCAGAAATCACGTCCTACAAACGTCTGGCTGTTACGATTAAAGCAGATCTGGAGATAGTGGCTCCAGTATTGTGAAACCGTCCTTGCAAGGATGTCGTCAATTCTGTTTGGTGCAAGGCAAGTTCCTCCTGACCATAGCCCTGAGCACCATACAACTGAATGTCCCCGTTACTTCTGTTACTTGTTGGGTTCGTATATGTTTCTAAGCTATGTTCACAGATAAGACAGTGGTAATAGCCTTTATGGTAACAGTTATAATAGCTTTCAATTAGACATTTTTTTACGACATACGACAACAATTAGAAAAGCCTTGATGATACGACTGCTATTGCTTCGATAAAGGTGTGATTGCCGAAATATCAACCCATCTATACCTCCATTCTCCTGGTTTTTCGCCGAGGAATAAGGCTATTGCTACTGTCTTATGCATGTGAATAATGTTCCTCGCAAATCCACTGAACAGCTTGCGTAATTTTAAACTATGTACACTTTCGAAGTATTTTTGGTTTTCATCCATAGACCCTGGAGACTTCACTTCAGTCCCTTACGGATGATATGCACGTTTTCGAAAAATTCGCTGCCTACTGCTTGTTTAGGGACCATCATAAAGCACATGTGCGTTAAGCGCATATTGGAGGTGTAAACGCGTGCCTTCCTGAATGTTTATTGAGAGTGAGACAGAGGCGCCTTAAGAGATGGGACGCCTGAGTGATTATTCTAGCTTTTATTAAGTTCTCAAAGCTATATTTCACCTACTTCTCTGGCCGGCACTCTCTCTCGGCAAGATGGACGCCTAAATGATAATTATAGTTTTTATTTAGTTCATTAAGCCGCATTTCTCCTACTTGTCTGGCTCACACTCGCTCTAGGCAAGATGGGACGCCCAAGTGATGATTTCGGCTTTTATTTCGTTCATTAAGCTGTATTTCACCTACTTCCCTAGCTCTCACTCTCTCTCTCTCCCTCTCCCCTCTCTTCTCTCTC